TAACATGATTATAATAAGAAAAATGATAAATATAAGACATGAATGTACATGAATGTAATAAATTACTTTATTACATGTATGTCATGTAAAAATTACTTTATGTAAACTGCCCATGTAGTTACAGGTTACATGTACTTGTATAGTTGACATAAGGTGACATAAGACTATAATTTGTAGAAGTGTTACTGTTCATAGTGTTTCCTGACCAGTAGCATTCCTCTAATTACAGAATCCAGACACTTTGTTAACATGTTGTACAACATGTAGCAAACTCAATCAATAGAACCGTCCAATACAAAAGTACAATATACATGTACATGTATTTATTATTATTTATTGTCCATTCCTTTATTATAGGGTATATCTTAATGTGTGTTTCTCTTATGCATCAAGATATGAGATTACTGATACTATAGAGTGACTGGTTGATGGATCTCATGACGGTACTATACTACCAACGTAAGTATATGTACATACAAAGTATTATACATGTTATAACATACATCTGCAGAATGTTAATGAGCCTAACAATTATTGTGTTTACTCTCAGGGATTTAGTGGGACCAATAAATGTAAACCAATATGGCAACAAAAACACAAAATGATACGTAATTCAGCTGCTAGTGTGAACAAGATCAATAAGTGTTGTACCATATAGCAGGAAATTTTGGAGCGGCTAAAATTTGGCGAATTGCAAATTTTGGTGATTAGCGATTTTAATTTGGTGAATTCGTGGCCACATGCCATTGAGCATGCGTATAATGGCTCAAAATGGTGGATTTTTATTCTGGCAAATGGCTATATCAAAACGCCAAATTTGCCAAATTTAATCCCTTCCAAAATTACCTGCTATACGGTATCAACAAGGCACCTTAAAAGCTGTGCCAGTGTGAAAATGCCTTCATTTGTAGCTAATAGACGATATAAAAGAACATAAACATAATTCATTCACTCTTATTCTACCCATCCATTAATGCAACGAAATAAAACAACTGGTCACTTGGATCAGGGATGTAATTGGATGTCAATTACAACATGTGTCAATTACATTTTGTGTTTGGTATTAGTCGTTCATAGTTAATCATTTATTGTCACTAATCATTTATCATCACTTATTATCCTACTCTAATCTGGAAACTTCTAGAACTCATTATTCTTCATTAATCGGGAAACTTCTAGAACTCATTATTCTTCATTAATCGGGAAACTTCTAGAACTTATTAGAATACTTTACATTAGAACATTCTAGAATTCTCCTTATAGTATATAAACGATTTAATCTATAGTG